CCAGTGTCAAAATTAGCAAAATGAACCAGCTTGGAAGAAAATCCTAGAAACAACAGTGAGGCATTCTTTTTTGAATTGCTGTATCACAAATATTCTTGATTAGCCCAGAATATGATACTGTTCGGGAAAATACATCAACAGCTCTGAGATGAAAAGCAACTTGAGAAAAACAGACTTTGAATATAAATAAGGATCCCTTAACCAAAATCTCTCATTTATAGTTTCCTTATTAGGATAATGTGATTTAAATTAAAATATTCATATAAGTAATTCCAAATGAGCTCTTTGTAAGTATAGAGTTAAATTTTTAAATGACATAGCTTTTTCTTTTTACTGATACAAAAATGATGTAAAGTAGTTAAATAGATACAAATTTTACCAATACAAAAATGATGGTTATCTTAGTTCATTTGTGTGGCAATAAAGGAAAACCTGAAACTGGGTAATTTATGAAGAAAAGGGTTTCTTGGCTCATGGTTCCACAGGCGATACAAGAAGCATGGCACCTGCACCTGTATTGCATCTGGTGAGGGCCTCTAGCTCCTTCCACTCATAGTGCAGGCAAAGCAGAGGAGAAAGGAAGCCAGCATAGGGAGATCACATGGTGACAGCATGGAAGCAAGAGAGAGGAGGGAGGAGCCAAGCTCTTTTTAATAATCAGTTCCCATAGGAACTAATTAAGAGCACACTCATTACTGTGATGTAAGAGTAGCAACAGGCTCATTAGTGTGATGATGTCACCAAGCCACTCTTGGGGGATCTGTTCCGTGATCTAAATACCACCCTCTTCAGGCCCCACCTCCAATACTGGGAATCAAATTTCAACATAAGATTTGGAGGAGACAATTATCCAAACTATATCAGCGGTGTAGCTTAAAAATCCATGAAGTCTTTGACTTAAAGAATTACAACTACCTAGAAAGAGGGGGAATTAGGAGAAATCAGAGTGATTACTTATGATTGGGAAATCATAACAGATTCCATAGAGTGGACATTTAGTTGCCCCTCAAAGATGCAGAGGAATATGATGCACATTGTAGGTATTAATAAATGAGATTCCTATAGAACCTATGGTCAATAGAAACAAACATCAACCAAGGGTATTGGTAAATCCCAATTAAGAACTCCTGTGTAAGAATTGATTTGCAAATTTAGAATCCTATTAGTCAAAAGACCAAGAAACTACTTGCCTAAATGACTGTTTTTATAGATTGTTTCTTTACAGCCTGTTTGTTCTGTGCACAAAACTTTTCTCCTGGCCTGGCATGATGGTTCACACCTGTAATCCCTGCACTTTGGGAGGCCAAAGTAGGAAGATCATTTGAGTTCAGGAGTTCAAGACCTTCCTAGGTAACATAGCAAAACCCCGCCTCTATTAAAAATCTGGAAAACTTTGCCAGGTGTGGTAGCGTGCAGTGGGTATGCTGAGGCGGGAGGATAGCTTGATCCCAGAGACTGGGGCTGCACTGAGCTATGATCATGCCACTGCACTTCAGCCTGGGTGATAGAGCAAGACACTGTCTTAAAAAAATATTTTCTTCTCCTAAATCAGACCTATGACTAGCAGTGTTGTTGCAAGACAACAGGTCACTAGAGAAACACCCAGCTGCCTCCTGGATAGGTCTAATATAACTATGCCATAATTCTAAGAGATAACATCTTACTAATTTAACAGCAACTACAATTAATGGGTGCTTATGTGTATGCCAGTAAATTTTCTCTGTGTGTTTATACACATACATACGCACACACACACACACACACACACACACACAGTATGTGTGTTTATCTATGTGTGTGTATGATTTATCATCCCTTTCATCTCCTAAACACAAATCACTTTGGTTCAGAAATTCTATTGGCGTGCACAGAAATATAATTGTTTGATTATCTCATGTTTATAATTTCTTAATTTTTATAGGTTTAGACATCCAAATAATGGTGGCTAAAGTTACAATGAGAAAATATAATTAATTCTGAGAAAAACTAAACTGTCCTCCATCCCCACAAAACAGACAGTTGGTAACAGCTGTTCTTAAACATGAGTTCACGTTTTTAAAGCCTATTATAGTGCCATTATGGAAGCTCCTGAGAGCCCCTGTTTGCCTAAACCTTTTAGCAATTATCTAGTGAAAACAGATAAAGCATTTATATGTCCCCACAGATTTTATAGACAGTATTGGCCCAACGGTAGGGCATACTCACTCACTTTCACTTGTACTTATGTGCACTCACTCTCATTCATTCTCTCTCTCTCTCTGTCTCTCTCTGCACTCTTAATCTCTTTTGCTCTGCTCTATTTTTTTAATTTTTTCCACATGCTTATTACCTTCTAATATATGGTATAATTTACTTTATCAAATATATTGTTTACCCCGTTATGTCTTACAAGCACAGGGATGCTCATCGATTTTGTTCAGCATTTAGAATAATGCTTAACCCTGAGTAAGCTCTCAATAAATATTTAAATAAATAAATGGAATTCAAGATGCTCATAATATATGACAAGAGACTATTAAATGAAGTTAAAGTAAGCTAAGGCCTCTTTATTTTTCTGTATTCATTACTGTTCAAAGTTTATTCATTTTCAACTTTGATAACTTAAGGACATGTTTGAGAAGGAATATTCCAAACTATAAACAGATCGTATTTGAATAGAAACTCCAAAAAGTTGTATGTACTGTCTGGCCAGTAGGTGAACATTTGCAACTTTCTAATTTAATTAAAACTGGAATTCGCAAATCACATAATCTTAAGAATTAGAGCAGACTATAAGCCTTTTTCTTCATTTTTAACTCCACAGGACATACTTTTTAAGAGGGTGTGTTTTGCTCTCAGTATGAAAAATGCAGTACAATACCTGCCAAGATAATTCTTTTTTTTTTTTTTTTTCTGGACACTCTGAGTATTTATTTCCAAGACCTCCCAGAAATGTTGTGCTTCACAAATACACATCATTTAGTCCTATAATAGTGATATAAGTGTGAAGAGATTATTTTTTTCTCAGTAAATTGGGGAGAGAGTAAGTCCTCACATTACAAAAGAGAAACAGAGCCTCTGCCAACCATGATGACACTCCTAAGCCATGAATGAGTTGGCTGTGGACTGTGAACTGCTGGATCCATCCAGTTTCATTTGTTTTCCAAATGACTAGCAGCCAGGGTATATTTGAGTTCTGTGATTCCCTGTTCATTCAACAAGCAATTTGCTTGAATCTCTGAGCATCAGTTTGAAAGGAGATGACTCTTTCTACTTCACTAGAGAATATGAGGGAAGATAAATGCCTGAATAACTTATGACATTTCCAGCCCAAAGGCAAAACGGCACTGAAAATAAGTTAAAATGTGCTCATAAAAGAGTACTTTAAATCCACTCCACTCTCCCAAATTGCATACAAAGCACATGTGGGTGAGAAAACATTGTTTTACTACTTTAATTCAAAGCCACCAAAAAGAGACAGAAATATTCTTAAACCTACCCTTACTAGTGATGACTAAATTTCAAATAATCTTGAAAGTGCTACTGATAAGACATTAGAAGTCACAACAGAAGCCATTCTAATATTCTCTGTCTGCCAAAACAAGCCAACATTCTCTTTTAATGAAAAAGAAAGTAAAAAGCACACGAACCCTTCACAGTACATACTCACTGTACGACTTTGGTGTGTGTGTGTCCATTCCTTATTTCTGGTTTACCTGCTGAGTTAACCTCTGCTACTTTCCGGGATTCATTCCAAGGAAACTAACTGCATTACTAAAATTGGCATCTGTGCTATTGTGTTTAAATTTCAGAGAGGCCCCGAAGTGATCTGAAACCAGTTTTTTAACATTCTGCCCACAACTTTATGCTAAAAAGTAGCAAGCACTGTTGAAGAACCAGAATTGATAGGAAGGTGCAATGTTTGTTTTACTACAAACACAGTTTCATTTCCTCTAGATGTACAATTCTGAAAGAGAATAAGTGCTACGTTAAAGCCATTTATTTTTGTTGCAGTGTTGCAAATACTGGCTTAAAGATTATTTAAGGTAATATGAAAGGTGAAAATATTGATATAAATCTATATGTTTCTGAGCTCTTTACTGTATAAATGTTTTTCTTTAAATCCTCTCCACTCTACCAAATTGCATAAAAGCAAATATGGGTGAGAAAACACTGTTTTATTGTTTTAATTCAAAGCCACCAAAAAGAGACAGAAATATTCTTTATATTTCTTTATAGCTCTTCATAAATGTTTTTCTCTACACCTTTTGGTTGGAAAATCCTAAAAGCCCAAGTGATAGGTGCGTATAAACTAGATTAATAGATTGTTTTTATTTCATGAAATTATGAAACTAGTAATGTTTGTAACAAGTTAAAAGAGTTAAAGAATTATACTTTTTAAATCTGGGGCATACCTTGGATATTCTCAAAAAGCCCTCAGAAATTATCTTAAACCAACCCTCTAATTTGAAAAACTGAGGAAACTGAGGCCCACTGAGGTTAAACTAACCACAGTGTCATAGATAATAAATAGGAAATCACACCAAAAGTCAGATTTTCTGATTCCAAGTCCAGAGCCGTGAAAGAGTATTTGTTTCAATAAACTTTAACACTTACAGAAATAAATGTTAACGAAGAACACCCTAGGCAACCTAAAGAACTCCATCAAGCTTACAAGAGCCCAGAATTCTAATCTGTTTGCAAACGCAAGTCCTAGAAATAACACCAGAAATAACCAATTTTTAAATGGCACCATACCTGGGGTTTCCAAAGGAAACCCGGCAGGCACAGGGCGCCGCGAGTTGGGTCTCTTTCCTCACCACTACAAATCCCTTCCAGTAAGTGGCTGGTTGGAATTGGGTTTGGGGTTTTGCTGCTGCTGCTGTTGCTGTAGTTTAATTTGCTTGCAGGGAAGAGGGGAGGTGGGAAACAAGATCTGAGGTCTAAACCATCCCTACAGCACAATCTTTTTTTACCTTGTCATGAAACTCCCAAATCCTCTTCAGGGCCCCAGGGCTTACCGTTTTAGGTGGCAGTCCCTTCAGTTTCCAAAGTAGGCAGGAAGCCTGGAAAAGAAGTTGGCAGGGTGTCATTCCCTTTCAGTGGCCCGGGGCAGGTGTGCGCCGGGCGCGGCCCGCAACTCTCAGCCTGCGCCCAGATCCTCCTCGTCCCGCGGGAGCCGAGAGTCGCCCTGCGTCTCACCCACCGCGCCCCCGCAGCACCCACCGCGCCCCCGCCGCCCACCAGGCGTCGGCCCCCTGGTGGTCCCGCTGAGCCGCCCCGGACTCCCCGTCCCTGAGCGGCCAGCGGGGCTCTGCGCCTGCCACGCGCGTCCCAACGCCCCATTCTCAAGTTACCCGGAGCGGGAAGAGGTGGCAATAGTGGGTGCCGGAGAGGGAAGCGGGTCCCACCTCGATCCCGGGGTCCAACTCGACGGAAGGCAGAGATGGCGGCGGCGCGGGGACTCGGGCTCCTGCGTCGTGCGCGCTCGGCCGGCCGTGGGCTCTGCGATGGGGCTGCTCCGAACTCCTCGCCCAAGGTGCCGGGCAGCCCTCAGGAGAGAGGAGGGCAGCCGAGTGCGTGGGGAGGAGGGGCTGAGCAGGAGCGGACTGGGGGGCAGAGAAGGGAGGGAAGAGTCGGCTGGCCGCGCCTGTAAGCCCCGCGCCCTCCGCAGCGGCTCTTGAGCGGGAGGAGCGGACTCAAGCGGCGACAGTGGCCGCGCCGATGGCCCGGGACGGCGGCTGGGAACGCCGCTGCGGGTGGCCGCGGATCTGCGGGAGGAGAGACCCAGGGCTGAGAGAAGGACGCGCTGCCCGCAGGGAGGCCCAGAGCCCGGGCGAACCCAGCAGGCACACGGCGCCGCGAGTTCCCCGGCAGGCAGTCACCCGCTACCCTGCGTCGCTGGCTGCAGGCTTGAGCTAAGCACTGGGGTTCCCCTGTCCCTCCGAAGCTCTGCAGCAGCAGGTGTGTAAAATGCTGCAATTAAAACATTGCAAGAAGTGGGAGGAGTCGGAGAAGAAAGCTAAACGGAAAAGATCAAAGTAGTGCGGTCATGAGTTTCCTGATGTACCAGGGATGCTTCCGCCAGCATCTTCGTCATGCGTGTCAGGAAGGCTGAAGGCATTCGCGCATCTGGTGGGTGGGGTGTTTGGAGGGGATTCGAGCCATATGACCACCACTCTTTCAATCCTGAGATCCAATGATGTTTGACGTAGCATATTTTTTTTATTGCATTTTAGGTTTTGGGGTACATGCGAAGAACATGCAAGATTGTTGCATAGGTACACACGTGGCAGTGTGATTTGCTGCCTTCCTCCCCATCACGTATATCTGGCATTTCTCCCCATGCTATCTCTCCCCAACTCCCCACCCCCCACTGGCCCTCCCCTATTTCCCCCCAACAGACCCGTGTGCAGTGCTCCCTTCCCTGTGTCCATGTGTTCTCATTGTTCAACACCCACCTATGAGTGAGAACATGCAGTTTGTGATCTTCTGCTCTTGTGTCAGTTTGCTGAAAATGATGGTTTCCAGGTTCATCCATGTCCCTACAAAGGACCCAAACTCATCGTTTTTGATGGCTGCATAATATTCCATGGTGTATATGTGCCACATTTTCCCTGTCCAGTCTATCATCGATGGGCATTTGGGTTGGTTCCAGGTCTTTGCTATTGTAAACAGTGCTGCAATGAACATTCGTGGACGTAGCACATTTTTTTTAATGTGTCCTTGAACAGTCTGATTCCAACTCCAAAGTAAATAGACATTTTCCAGCTCTCGTTTCAAAATGTTCATTCATTATTTGTCTATGTATTAAATACATCTTTATTGAGAAGGTACTATGTGCCAGACAATATACCAGGTTCAGTTATAGTGTTCCCTGATCTTAGAGTTAGGGGTGGGAGGACAGACAGATAAGCGCCTAGTCATACAATTACCAGTAGTGCTGGGTGATGTGAAGGAAACTAACAGAGTAAGGGAGAAAGAACGAAGAGGAATGGGCATTCTCTAGATTGGGTGGATGGCTAATTTTTAAAGGCCTCTACTTACTTTGATTAATGACTTCATATGAAGAAGCATTCCAGGCATACAGGGAAAGTGAGTTGCAGAAAGTGGCCTAGAGATGGGTAGGCCAGAAATGGCCCAGAGATGATGTCCTGGCTCCCTGGCCCAGCTGCTGTGCACTATCGAAGGAACCTTGCTGTAACTTTGCAAATGAAGCTTCTCCTTCATAGGAATCACCTCTCAGGACCAGTGTCACTTTTTTGAATAGCACTTGGATCTCCAGATCACTTGTTGAAGCCACTTTATACAGGAATGTCGTATTTGTATACCGAATGAGCTTTCAGTGGTATCTGTGGTTGGCGAAAAATAACCAAGAAAAAATTAACCCTTGGATTTCCACCAAACCTCGACAGACAGGTGTCTCTATTGGATGGAGATAAGAATTGAGGTAGATTTCTCCAGACTATTAGGAAAGAAAACAATACAAAAAGAATCTTTAATTAAATCATCAGTACAAACTAACATGTTAGTTTCTTAGGGCTGCTGTAACAAATTATCACAAACTTGATGCCCTGAGATTTATTCTCTCATTGCTCTGGAAGCTAAAAGTTGAAAGTCAAGGTGTCAGCAGATCTGTACTTGCTCCCAAGACTCTAGGGGAAAATCCTGCCTTGCCTCTGATGGCTTCAGTAATTCCTTGGCTTGTGGCCACATAACTCCAGTCTCTGCCTCCACTTCACGTGCCTCCTCCTTTGTGTCTGTGCTACCTTCTCTTCTTTTTGTTGTAAAGGGCATTTGTCATTGGATTTAGGGACCAATCAGATAATTCAGGCTGGTCTCATGTCAAAATTCTTAACTTAGTTACATCTGCAAAGACCGTTTTTCCAAATAAGGTCACATCCACAGGTTCCAGGAATGGGGATGTGGGCATTTTTAGCGTGAAGTCACTTTAACCACTATAACTAACTAATAGAGATCAAAATCATTGTCTACTTTGGTATCAGGTGTCATTCCAGCATCATTATTTGAAATTGTATTGGCACTAAATGTAATTAATTATTTCATTGTGAACTACTAAAAATAAGTATTGCCAGGGACAGTGGCTCATGCCTGTAATCCCAGCACTTTGGGAGACTGAAGCGGGCAGACCACTTGAACCCAGTAGTTCGAGACCAGCAACATGGTGAAACCCCATCTCCATTAAAAATATAAAAATTAACTGGGTGTGGTGATGCACACCTGTAATCCCAGCTACTTGGGGGGCTGAGGCAGGAGAATCACTTGAATCCAGAAGGCAGAGGTTGCAGTGAACCAAAATCATGCCACTGCACTCCAGCGTGGGTAACAGTGAGACTCTGTCTCAAAAAAGTAAATAAATAATAAAAACTAAAAAGAAGTATCATAAACCTGGGCATTTTGAAGAATAACTGCCCTGTAGGAAACAAGTACAAAGGTTCAAACCCTCAACTTGTGTTTGAGTTGCAGGCAATACTTGAAGGCCAAGCATAGTGCCTCAAAGTGCCCATTGTTGTAGAAATGCATCCTGAATACATATGTATAGATTTCTGATAATGTGCCAACACTGAGTGTCTGCTCTATACTAGTCTCCGAGTCAGAAAGTCCTTATAGAATTTACATTCTAGGTTAGGAGACATCTTTGAATCTCATTTCATCTGGCACAGTATTTACATACCTGAAGCCTGATAAAGAGCTGTGAATGAATACATGAGTAAAAATAAATCACTGCCAAGCAGCTAAGCAAATTATTACTACAGTGAAAAACATCTCTGTAATAAGAAGATAGAATTTACTAGAGCAAAGCAAGTTAACACCCTGACTCATTCAGTATTCTCTTTAGAGAAGGAAAAAAAAAACTCTAAAAGGAAAGCTTTGATGTGAAAGAGAAATTAATGAGATCACCTATCTTCTCTTTTGAAAAGAAATCCATACTATGCCCATTTACACAGATATGGATCCTGCTGGGAACAATCAATCATGACTGAAATTATAGTTACTTAAATCAGGTGAACTATTGTATCCAAATACTTTAGTTGTTAGTTTCAAAAACATAAATATTGCTCAATATTGAGAATATTGATACGTCACTTCTTGAAACTCTTTACAAATAGTGATTTCAATGACTCCGCGTTCCTCCTGGCTCAACTCTTTTCTCTTTGGCTTTCCTTCTTACTCTTCCACTCTTACCATTTTAAGCAGTCAATCTATATCTTAATAACTACCAAATTGGGTCTCTTTCATTGACTTCTGTGGGTTACAGGACCATCCCTGCACCAGTCATGTGGCCAGTGAGTTGGAATGTGATGACTGCCCAATTATCTCACCTGACCTGGAAAATGGGGGAAATGAGGAGGGTGAGTCTTACCCTAACCAAATTACTGAGGGTTGAGGGGGAAGTGGAACCTAAAAAAATAAAATGAGGGTGATTTTACTGATGGGGAAATAGAAAAGGAAAAGCACATATATTCACTACAATCAACACTCAGAAAGATTTGTGGTTGAGCTGACTATAGTTTTAAATAAAACAGTGACTCACCTTGACCATGATACTCTGTCTTTTGGAAAGTTTTTCAGAATAGAATAATAATTATGATTATATGTCCAATTACCACACACATCTTAAAAATTTGCATTCAAAAATGCATATAAATGCCTCCCGATTAGCTGGGATTACAGGCACCCACCACCATGCCCGCCTGTTTTTGTGTTTTTAGGAGAGACAGGATTTCACAACATTGGCTGGGCTGGTCTCAAACTCCTGATGTCAAGTGATCTACCCGCCTCAGCCTCCCAAAATGCTGGGATTACAGGTGTGAGTCACCATGCCCAGCCAGCAATAGACTATTTAAATAGTACCAATGCCATTTCCAGCAAAAAGAAATTTATATTTAATGAACATAAAACTTTTAAGTCCTCATGGAAAAACAATTTACAACTTGTACAGTTGTAACTGCTAATTCAAGAACTATTATGTTCAATAAGCCAATGATATAGAACTATTTCTATCTTGATTCTTAACATAGCTCTGAGAATAAATCCCTTTAAAACCTAAATGTCCAAGTGAAAATAAATTATTGTGTTATGCATGGTAGCAGCTTTGGTTAATGGAATAAGTGATAGAAGACACTGTGACAATCTTTTCGATGCGTCAAAATGGCTAGGCTGAAGTCTCCAATTATGTAATCAAACACTAATCCAGGAGTTGCTAGATGGTATTTTTTAGATGTGATTAAAGTCCATAATTAGTCGACTATACAGAAAAGAGGTCATCCTAGATAACCAGGGTGGGCGTGGTTCTGTCAGATCTTTCATTCAGATGACCGTTTTAAGGGTTTTCTATTGGACAAAAGGCTTTAACCCTTTTCCCATTCAGGACAAAAAAGTGCAGCTCACTGCCAGTGCTCATTTAATTTTATATTAAACACATTCTTTAAAGCTGAAGCAAATCTGACTGATTTTCAACGTAAAAACAAAATATAAAAACTGGTCTTGGAGTTATTTCCAAACAGAACTAACACCAGCATCATCTGAATCATCAGAATCGTCGATTACAGAAAAAGCAGATTCATCAAATGAATCTTCGGCCAACAACTCTTCAAGAATGAT